GAAAATGGACCGAGAGGTAGCCCTGGACTTATTACAGTGCTTTTTATAAAAGCGGGGAACTGAGCCCTGAACGTTTTGCAGTGCTTTTTATAAAAGCGGGGAATTGAGCCTGAGACTCTAAAGCAGCTAGCAGGTCTACTGGCTGTAGGGAAGGCTAAGGGAGTTTTTTTGCAGATCCTTATACAATATTTGAGGAGAGTGAGTGGCGAAAGTTTGGTGATGAACTATTTGACTCAGTGCTTAATGATTATAAATAGGCAAAGAAACTCGGTAAACCACGGAGGGAAGTAATGAACTGTATCAAAAGATACAAGGCAGAAAAGAAAACTGCCGCGGTAGCAACGGAGAAACTAGGAACAGACGTCCCCGGTCGGTTGAAACCGGGGGAAGATTACAACTCGTTTCCCCCAACTCGCGCGAGCACAGGGTTCCCCCCCCCCCCCCCTTTTCTTCCCCCCTTTTCTCCCCCTCCATCAGAAGGTGCCGCGGAGGAGGTGTAACCCCCTGCTTCCCCACCACCCCAGTTCCGAAAGTAGGGACTTTGAAAAGGACAGAGAAAGTATATTAGAAGGGATACGTATGATAAAAGTCGAGGAATCCGAAAGAAAGAGGGCGGTGCCTCGGCGCCGGATCGATTGCGGCGCCACTGTGAAGCCCGCAGTAGAAAATAGGGATCATGCGCGAGCGGGAGATTTAAAGGAACCGCGAGCCTTTCCAACCCACTATGCCCTAGAGTGAAAAAAAATTTAACTCAGTCACGGAGGAGCCAGGTCTGCAGATGGCCACATACCGAACGAGAGGCATCTGATAAGAAAGACACAGCTGCGAGCAGCGGAGACCCCGAGTTCAGCGCAGGATCAGCCCCCGAATCCCCTGAATCCGAGCCAGATCTATATCCTCTGCTTCCAGACCCTGACTCTTCATCTCCCGGGTCGGTCTGCTCAGACTTACTGGCCCTGGAGACGCTCAGCTGTAACAATGGGTAACCAAAGATGCGAACATCACTGGGGAATTTTCTGCAATGGGCATCTTTGCAGATCCTGTGTTTACTACACAGCAGGGGGCTAAAGAGTGGGAAGCTCTTGATCTCAAAATAGTTAAGGAGGCCTGACAAACAGTGACCACGTATGCGTTAAAATCCTCTTATACTCAAGCTGTATACGTTATGATTTTTTCCTTGCAATTGACAGGGGGAGCCCATACAGTTTCTCTGTGATACTCATGTACTAGAAGTTGGTAAATATAAGTATGTCCAGGTTTCTATCAACCCTTGGAGACCTCTGTAGATACTGCTGGCCACTTCTTCCAGCACAGGCAGGCTACCTGTGTCGGAATGAGTGTGCATTTTGGTCAGTATAAAAGCCCAAGCCTCATACGATGTGGGGGAGGCAAAGCCTCTGCGGGGACGCCCGCTAAGGTTGAGCCTGCCACCTCGCACTGCAGTGATGCTTCTCGGAGCTGGTTTGCTGTTAGTCTCCACAGGGTCCTTGTGCCACGTTCTGCACGTGGGACTGTAGTGGGGAAAAAAAAAGGGGGGGGGGGAGAGAGTAATGATGTTACATTTAACTTTAACCTGTCTAACCTGTCTACTTCTGAAGAACTGATAACCTGGGGGAGGGGGTATATTTGTGTCCTCCTGCCTACAGGTCCATGGTGAATGCCTGCAAAGTTTGTCAAGCCTTCCCATGAGCTGGACAGACGAATGGAAAAACCTGATGCCTCAGCTACAGGAGCTGACCCTGATTACCCCAAGCAGAATGAGATAGAGGAAGAGAAAGAACAAATAACTGCAAAACATCACTTGGGGGCAACTGAAAAGTAACATCCTGAATATGTGTGCTTGTAAAGTAGCTATTATTAGAGGTTGTGATTTTGTGTATAAAACCACCTGTATTTACTAGCTAGTTGCTAGTAAGAAACTGCACCTTGTATTGTATAGATTGGTCACTTGTAAAAGAGTTGTTAGAGTATGGAAATTTGCAGTAGCTGCTAGAAAATGCTAAGGCAAAAGCTAGAAAAATTTTAATACAATGGTAGTGTTATAAAGCAGGTGATGGAACAAATTAAGAGGGGGGAGAATTCCACTGGTAAGAAATTTCTTTGGGTGGTCCCTCGCTGTCATCAGCATCTTCAACTGCTGCTGCACCCTGTAATAGTTACTCTGCTAATGTAAATGTGTGTGTGCCTTGCTGTAGTAGCGACTTGTCACTGGATAAAGCAGGTGAAACTGTGCCTTGACAGCAAGGTGCAAGGACTGAGGCTGACCAAATGCCTGCTACCACAATCAAGGGCAAGACTGGGTTGGCTTCTGTGTTTGCCACCAAGAAGAACCTTTAGCTCCGCTGCTGGCTGCAACCCAGCAGGCGTGGAGCGGTGGGGACACACGTCATGCCAGACCTTGATGTGAAGGAACAGAGAGCTATACAGCCTGTTACCGGAGAGCCATACAGCAGAAAAAAAGGGCAGGACCAGGCAGTCTCTGGTTGGCATATGTTGGAGACATAATCTAGCCCAGATCCCCTGCTCAAGTAGGGTCACCCAAACCATATATAGAACATAAAGGGGGAAGATGCGGAGACAGTGTTCTCACGGGAGAATGCATAACTGGTACATAAACTTTGAATAGTCCTGAAAGATACAGCAAGGCCATGAGAGGCCTGAAGAAGCTTAAGCAAGCAAGATAAGAGGCTGGAATTCACCAAGTTAATGAGAACTGTGGACTGTTGGCAAGCTTTCAAGGTTGAGTTCTCACACCTGTGTTTAACCAATTATATGTTAGTCACTAAGGGTCTTCAAAACATGTATCCAATCATAATATGCCAAATCACTGTAAGTGCTTCAGCCGGGCCTTGGCTCAACTAAGCAGACTGGGTTGCTGAGTTGCTAAGCAAATCCTACATCGAAGGCAATTTATGATTTGTTTTAATGTTGACTCTGTAAGACATGCAACACTGCAGAACCTTTTGTTGTTGGAACAGGGACATGGATGTGAAAAGTTTGTTGGAATGTGTTGTATGAGTCTCTGATTATGCTAATTCGATGCACGCACAGCTGAGAACCCTGGCTCAGCTTACCCAGCAATAGTAAATGAGCAATATCCTAAGAATAACTAGATGGTTGTCTTCACGGGGCATTACAGGTTGAGTCAAACACTGTTTAAAAGTATTGCACTTATGTATCATTGATTGGGTTAATCATAATAGCTATTAGACATGTTTATAGTTGTGTGATAAAACAGGTGAACAGAATAACCCATAATGCCTTGCTTGCACAAAGAAAAAGGGGGGAATTGCTGCAGAATGACTCTAAGAGCAGGACCATAGAGTTCCAGGCCAGAGAGTGCCAGTGGAGCGCAGCAGCTTGGTGGGCACAGGTGCTTGTATGTGGGGTGGCCAGGGGCTGCTCCTGCAGTGACACGTGGCCACAGGCCAGGGATGCTGCCGAGCCCTCCTTGTGTGTGATGGGGAGTTTCCGAGCCAGGGTTCCACACTCAGCCCACACAGGTGCTTGGGTGAACATGAAGAATTATTTATTGGCTGCTGGGCCCACAGGGTGCTAGGGCTTCAGCGGGGGACGCCCAGTCGTGCGTGGCTCCTGGGGTTTGAGTTTGACGGAAGGGGGCAGGAGGGGCTGGACGAGCCGCGGTGCCTGGGGAAGGCTGCCCTGGGTCGGGTTCCTCCTGCCTGTACCCTCCTTGCCCTTGAGCACAGGCTGCTGCTTGTCCTGCCGGCGGCTGGTGTTGCCCAGAAGCTCGGTTGCATTGTCACCATCCTGCTGGGAAGGAGAGAGGGGTCTGGCTAAAGCACGGGGCAGTATTGATCATTCCCAAGCAACCCTCCACACGCAGCCCTCCTGGGGAAACTGAGGCACGAATCCCCCCCCATCCCAAATACTCAGCATCACACTCCCAGCCTCATTTGCCCCCTCCAGATCCCTTCCTTCTTCATCCCTACCTTCCTGTGGAGCACAGCGGACGGCCTGAGAGTCCGTGGGGTGCTGGGTAAGACAGGCTGGGGAGCAGTGTTCTGGTCCCCGCACTGCCGCGGCACGCTGGGGTTCCAGCAGCGAGCCGCCTGCTCCCTGCAGGATGGGAAATAGGGGGACTCAGCACCCAGCACTGTGGTCTGCCAGGGTGGGGGACAGGGCGTATGTGGGCAGCCTGCCCTGGCACCCACAGAGCCTTCTATCCCCACCCAGGGAAGAGCTCTCCCGCCAGGGCAGGGCCACCCTGCACCCTGGCAGGGGATGGGTCCCAAGTCCCCTACCTCTTGCTTTCCCCTGGTTTGAGGGAACGAGGAATTTTCTCAGTGACGCGGGAGGTCAGCCGTGGCGCGGGTGGGATGGGCATGACGGGCCTGTGGAAACCAAGAGCCACCGGTGGGTGACAGGGGACAAATGATCCAGCCCGCCTCAAGGCAGTGCCCCAAAATCCATGGGCTTTCACCCTATGGCATCCCCCTGCCCACTGCCCTCAGGGAAGGGTCCCCATCCCCCCACTCGTGGGCAGAGCATTAGAGGGGTCTCAGCAGGGTCAACCCCCCCACACTGACTCCCAGAACCCTGTGCCTGTCAGGCGGAGCTCTCAGCATCCGTCTCCTCCCGTGCCACCCGTGCAGCCCCTCGATGCTCCAGGGACAGGTGCTACTTACGAGGCAGGCACCCTCACGTTGAGCTGCCGGTCACAGGACAGGCGCCGGGAATCGGCATTGGAAGGCTGCCTGGGCAGGGGAGGAAAGGGCTGGGTGAGCTGGGAAACGTGGGTTTCAGCCCGGTTTGTAGCCTAGCAACCAAGCAAGGTCCCAACCCCCTGGCTGCTTACAGAAGAATGGCGGGAGGATGAGGGAGAGCAGTTGGAGGTTGGCTCCAAAAACCACCACCATCAGTGCGAACTACTGCCATGGGCACTCAGAGCACCATAGGAACCGGGGGTGCTGGCACGGCCAAAGTGGCAACGGGGCGAGTGCTGTCTCTGAAGCCACCACTGTCCCCATCACACTCACGTCTTAATGCCAGCCGCATTGTTAGCCTCTCTCGGCAGTGCCTTCTCTGTGACCTGCTCCAGACTTCTCTTCCACTGCTCCTCCAGCTGCTGCTGGAAAGGCCCCAGCTCCTTGCGGTCCAGCTGCAGGCACACACACTCCCCTCAGCCAGCAGCCCCAGCTTGGGGCACTGCGGCGCCCAGAGAAAAGCCAGGAGCAGGAATCCTCAGAGGGATACAGCCTTGGGCCACCAAGCCCCAGAGGTGCCAGTTTGGCACGGGGGGGTTGGGCCACCCCTCACCTTGGAGGCCATCTCTTCCCGCAGCTGATGACGGACTTGCTGCAGCTCCTGCTCCTGGGCCTTCAAGCGGCTCAGCACCTCCTGGTCCTGATGCAGGGAGGAAGACGACAGGGTAGTGCCATGCAAGGGGGAGGTGCCTGTCCCTTGGGAACAGACCCGGCTTAATGGGCAAGTGACCACGGGCTCTCAGTGCCAGCAGGACATCTGCAGCACAGCTGCAATTTCCCTCCATTCTGCTGACTCGTACAACCCTATCTGGGGGGAGGAGCAAGGGGCTCTCCCCACATTTCACAGAAGCACAACCAGCTGCGGGGCAGGAGAGGTCCCAGCAGCCTCTTCCGAAGCCCCCCATGCCACCATCTCCATCAGCTCCTGCTTCAGCTTCTGAAGCGCGGACGTGAGCTGGGAGCAGTGGTGGGGCAGAGTCAGGGCATGGTGCCAGTGTCTTCCCAGACCAGGGGCTCTTCTTCTGCCCCTCCCTGCCCAAACCCCCAAGCATCCCCACGTGCCCCCTGGGGACTGCCACCGGCTCACCTTCCACACCTTCTGCTTTAAGTCACTTGCCAGGCCCTGCAGGGAGGACGCCTGGCCACGGAGCTCCTCAAGCTTGATGGCGATGCTCTCCTGGCCTGCAAGAACATGGGCCAAGGGGACACACTGTCAGTGAGGGGGTCTCACCTTCAAGGCCAGGCTCTGAGGGCAACGAGCCCCCGACCCAGGCTCTCAAACATCCCACCAGACCTCACAGCTCCCACCTTCCTCCTGCTGGTGCAGCAGCTCGGACCGCAGCATCTCCAGCTCAGCGCGGTCCGACTTGGTGGCTTGCAGCTGCGCCGCCTGCTTCTTTAGCTGATCATAGAGGCTGTGAAGAGCCTCGAACTCAGCCTCCATCATCGAGGTGGAGGAACTGCTGGAGCCGGAGGATTCTGACGATCCGCACGCCTCTTGCAGCTGGCCCATGGCCCTGGGATGCACACTGGAGCTAGGGGCTATTGGCTGCGTCCCTGCTCCCTGGAGGTCTGCCCAGGAAACCCTTTTTCTGGAACGCATCCCTGGGCTGCGGGTCTTGCTGGAAACAAGACAAGACTTTCTCCGTGGAGCCTTGGGCGCGGCGACAGCAGCTCCAACTTCTTTCTTTGATCTCCAGGCAGGGGTGGCAGCAAGAGAAGGCTTTCTCCATACAGCCCTGTCCTCACGATCAGCAGCTCCAGCCCATCTCCATGAGATGTTGGGCTGACCACTGCGACTTGCAGACCTGCTGGTTGAGCTGGTGCTCTGAGCAGTAGGGGTTGCACGCTCTGTCCCTGGTTCCTTGGGACGCAGCGCTGAGCTTGCCCTGTGCAGGGTGTCCATGTCCAAAGTGGAGGACTTGGTGAGGGCAGACCGGGCTCTGTAGTCCTCCTGGGAAGAGGCGGCAAAGGGGAGCAGGTTTGTGGACAGAAGTGCAGCAGCAAGGGCAGAGCCAGGGCTCCCCGCACGGTCCCCAGCTCTGTCCCCAGCCGCCCCGGGCTGAACTCACACACTTTCACACTGCCCGCTCAGAGCCCCCTTCCCACTCCTCCCTCGCTGGGTGGCACCCAGGGTGATGGACACAGGGTTACGCAGGGAGGGGGCGATGGGCACAGGGACCCCAGTAGCAGCTCAGCAAGCCAAGCCCCTTCCCGACTGCCTCGTTCATGCCACCGATCCCCTCCGGGAGAGGCTGGGACAGAGCCATGTCCTAGGAGAGGAGGGCGGCGGGGGTTGAGCCCCAGGGGAGGGCCCCTGCAGACCAGGAGCTGGGTCCCCGGCCCTGCCCCTTGGGACACCCGGGAAAAGCCTGTGCCTGAGCAGCTCAGTGCCGTGCAGGGTGAGGCCCCTCTCCAGTACCCCGCAGTGCCGGGTTTAGCCCTGGGGCGAGCCAAGGAGACTGGGGGTGGAGATGAGGCCCATGAGGTGCTGACGGTGCCTCTCAGGTGCCTGAGGAGTGGACACGGCTCCCACCCATGTGTCAGGAGTGGGGAAGACAGGGATGGAGAGGATGGTGGGGCCAGAGCTCCAGGGCTGTGGAGCCCATGGGACTTGGGAGAGCCCCTACCTCAGAGCTGCTGCTGTCCACGTCTTCCATCTCCTCCAGCTGCCCCACACCGGCAGCCCTGGTGTAAAGTCGGGAGTTGCCAGCGGTGCCCTGCAGCAGGGCTGTCCTGGGCTGCCACCCGCCTGGCTCCAGGCGCTGCTGCCTCACATGCCGGGCCTGGGCCCTGACCCCCTGGGCAGCCTGCCCCCAGTCTGGGACAGGCAGGTCCCCAAGGCCCGTGAGCTCCAGCACAGCCCGCAGTAGGATTCGCAGCTGCATGATATTCACGCGTCCCCCGTTGGAGGTGCTGATGGCAGCGTCCAGCAGCTGAAATAGGCTGAGCGTTGCCATCGCTGCTGCGGTGTTCCACAACGGGAGTCTGACCTGGGGGCAGTAGAGACAGCGGGCAGCCGGCGGCCTTCCTCCTGCCCCTCCGCACCTGCAGCAGTGACTGAGACCACCCTGCCCCCTGCCCGCTATTTATTGGCCACAGCCCGCTGCTCCTCGATGCCCATTGGCCGAGTCCATTGTCCGTTTCCGGGCGACGCCCCGTTGCCATCCCGCAGCTCCAGCGCATCGCCTCGTGTCCCGGGCACACTGGCAGACGCACGAAGCCTGTGTTCCCTTTCCTTGGAGTCGCCGTTCCATTTCCATCCGCAGCCTTTGCCATCCCTCGCAGCTTTCTTCCTCTTTGTCCAAACCAAACGCGCTGGCAGTGCAAACACGAAGCCCAGAGCGACAACATTTGATTTACGCCTCTAAGATTACACGAGGTGACTTGGATTCAAACAGCCCGTCTTCATTCATTCTCATGACCTTGGCATGTCAATCCAGCAGGAATTTCAGGGTTGTTTCGTAACCCTCTGGGAAAACCTGCTGCACTTGCAGCCCCTTTCCTGCAGAGCAAGATGCTGTCCTGAGAGCACAAAGGAAAACAGTCAGTGTAGCAAGGAACAGGAGGGAAGGATGCACTTGATGTCATAATGATCTTAGATCTTAGTTGGTTGATGTGGTTGGAGGAGCCAACAGAGGGTGAGGACCAGAGGTAATTGTTTTCTCACTCCTTGGCAGGGACGGCTGAGTTAGAGACATGCTCTGCAGGCTACTCAAGCCTAAAGTAGCTGTTAACACTAGAGAATCGACAGTGTGAAAACGAGCTCATGCTGAACGAGCCATGGGCTAGATGCAAATTTGGGGTGCTTAAGAAGTGAAGTCAAAAGCTTTTTGTGCAGGCGACTCTCTCCGAGTCAGACCTCCTGCTAGACCAAGAGCTAGCTCGTGGATGCAATGGAGCAAGTCAGAAGGCACCATATGCCTGCTCTGGGCTTACTCTTTCCCTTTGTGATGCAGCCTTACCCCTTAACACTCCCCATTCAACCCGAGTAGATGACCTCAGAGAGTTGAGTACAACCCAAAAGGACCAGTGACACTTCCTTTGGGGCTTGGTTTTCTGCTTGATGGCGCTTATGGAAACACCACTTTGTGGCACGTGGCCATTGCCAATAGGATACATGAGAAAACCCTAAATTCCAATGTTATGGATGCAGAGCTCAATGCTTGTTTTCACTATGACTTCCTAGACAGATATTCCTGTGTCCATACTAAGCAAGTGGGGACATTTGAAATGCGTCTTTCCAGGAGTATGTGAACAAGAGGCAGTGAGTCACAAACTGCGGTGAGCTAAACTCAGCATTCCCTTTGTTCTGTGTGCTTCTGCACCAACATGGCTTTGAAAGTGTTGTATATGGGCAGCACCCATCTTTCCGAGTAGGGAACAGGGAGGGCTGATGGGTCTGCAGGTCTAACTGGAGCAGGGTGAGACAATGAACCACAACAATGGGCTAATTCTTCACTGACGAACAAAGATCTTCCTCACACAGAAGCAGGCAGGAACCCATCAAGGAAATGCAGAAACCTGCATGCAGCCAGGTCAGACCTCAGCTCAGCTGCCTCTTTGATGCCTTTCCTATGACAAAGGTATTGCCATAGGACACTAAATTCACAGTGAGGATCCACTGCCAGGACCCATCCCTCAATGGGGGATATTTGCCAGGGCAGAGAAAGTAGCTGATGATGTTAGAGAAGCCTTGTGTCAAGGCAAGCTGCAGCAGCAGTCCACCAGATGGGTCTAACCAGAGGCTGTTTTGCTCTTGAAAAGCAAAAGCAGAAGTATCTGCTGGCACCTGCGAGGAAACCAGCCCAGCAGAACAGCTTTGTGCGAGATGCATCTGAAATCAAGACTGGCTGATAAGAGCAGATCCCATTAGTAATAAATCTTTGGAGGCCGTTTAGGTGTTTCTGCATGTTTAATTTCCTACCTACAGCTCTTTTTTCTTCCTTTCACTCCTTTATCTGCAAAAACTCTCTGTTTAAAGACAGAGCCTTCTCTGGAAAGGGACTTTTGACAAGAGCCTGTAGGGACAGGACAAGGAGTAATAGCTTTAAGCTGAAAAGGGTTAGATTTAGATTGGATATCAGGCAGAAGCTCTTCCCTGTGAGGGTGCTGAGGCGCTGGCACAGGGTGCCCAGAGAAGCTGTGGCTGCCCCATCCCTGGCAGTCTTCAAGGCCACATTGGACAGGGCTTGGAGCGAGCTGCTCTAGTGGAAGGAGTCCCAGGACCCAAAGGTAGTGAGGGAGAAGGAGTCAGAGAGCAGTCATGTCCGACCTCAAATGTCAAAAGGCAAGTCGATATGAAACCAAGGGCC